CAGTTACCTTTTATATGGCCAGGTTCATGTTATATTCCATGTAGCCGTCTTACCCCCAGGGGTGGCCAACCTTACCCTGTATTTTTTTGGTGCAAAATTAAACATCATTAAATGGAATGTAATTTTTTTGAAAATCAATATAATTAAGGATAGTATTCTGAAGACTTGGTTGGAAATGCTATGTAACATGAAGCATTAAAGGACCTTTGCTCATTTTTAACTTCTATTCAATATTCATACTGCTGTACTCGAATAGAACTATCTACCTACCCTCTTTTAAGAACATTCTCTAGCTAATAAATTATCACACTAAAGCTTCATGTTAGATAGCACTCCAACCAACTCTGAAAATCGCAAATTTCGCGTATGAACTAACATAAAACACTTTCAGTATTCTAAAGATAAAAATTCACTAAATTTATAGCTGGAATGTTAAACAACTTCGGTTAAATATTACTTCAAACTTACGGCGGCCGTCTTACCCCGTCGTCCCCTACATGACACATGAAGCTAGAGCAATCGGTCTATAAGATTTAGCTGAATAGGATCGCTGGGCAGGTTTCAAAATAGCACACAATGATAAAGATATTCCAGCTCTTTGGAATGTCTCCACTGTACCTGTTTTGACGTAAAACTACGTCTGTGATTTCTAGATGAAGGTATACTTTGTGAAAACCGAAAATGGAACGTGTAACAAAATTATGAAAGATTTTGAACGTTAATAACTCAGCTGCCCCTGAACCAATTTCAATAATTTTATCACCAATGGATCAGAAATATTTCTGCAAATGTGCAATTGTTGCTATGATAGTTGAAATTATCGCCGATTGCTTGCGAAAAGCGATTTCCCTAACACATATTTCAAAGTTGAATTCCATCCGGTCTCACCAAACGGGTTTTATTCCATCACCACGTAAAGGGTGATACGGTCAAAATTTGGTCAAGGAAAAACGCGTGTAAATCGGTGAAATCGTTTATTTAAAAAATCAAATTAAATTTCTTTTTCAAGTTCAATTAGTATAAAATTCAGGAAAAATATTCAGTTAGGCTTCCACTTTTCCAAATCCGAATTGCCGGGCCTTACGCTTGACCCCTGCCATCAGATTTTGTACAGCCACCTTGTCCACCTTCTTCGCCGCAGAAAGCCAGTTTGCCTTGAACTGCTGCTCGCCCTTAGCAGTTTTTTGGTCTTCTTTAGGTTCCGCTTGACAATAGCCCAGTATTTTTCAATTGGGCGGAGCTCTGGCGTGTTGGGAGGGTTCTTGTCCTTTGGAGCCACCTGCACGTTGTTGGCGGCGTACCACTCCATGGCCTTTTTACCGTAATGGCAAGATGCCAAATCCGGCCAAAACAGTACGGAACAACCGTGTTTCTTCAGGAAAGGCAGCAGACGTTTATTCAAACACTCTTTCACGTAAATTTCTTGGTTGACAGTCCCGGAAGCTATGAAAATGCTGATTTTCAAGCCACAGGTACAGATGGCTTGCCAAACCAGATATTTCTTTGCGAACTTTGACAGTTTCATGTGCTTGAAAACATCTGCTACCTTTCCCCTTCCTTTTGCCGTATAAAACTCCTGTCCCGGAAGCTGCTTGTAGTCGACTTTGACGTAGGTTTCGTCGTCCATTACCACGCAGTCAAACTTCGTCAGCATCGTCGTGTACAGCCTCCGGGATCGCGCTTTGGCCGTCGTATTTTGTTTATCATCGCGATTTGGAGTCACTACCTTCTTGTAAGTCGATAGTCCGGCTCGTTTTTTGGCTCGATGCACGGTTGTAGACGATACACCCAGCTTATTTGCGGCATCTCGGAGAGAGAGGTTAGGGTTTCGCTTGAAACTACCGGCAACTCTCTTTGTCGTCTCAGCGGCTTCCGGTTTTCGATTTCCCCCCGATCCAGACTTCCTGGCTGTCGACAAACGTTCCCCAAACACTTTAATTACATTTGTAACGGTTGATTTGGCAACTTTTAGCGATTTTGCCAACTTTGCGTACGAGTAGCTCGGATTTTCACGATGCGCGAGCAAAATTTTGATACGCTGCTCTTCTTGCTTGGACGGCATTTTGACAACTGAAGAGTGAATTCCAAAATCAAAATAGGAGCAACATTCTACACACACACACACCTTCAAAATGAGGGGTGTTCAGGTTTTTTAAATGCAAAATTGAAAGAAATACGTCAAGTTGATATTGACCAAATTTTGACCGTAGCACCCTTTAGTGAGTGGTGGTGTTCTCCAGTACACAACGAAAGGCAGCATGCAAACAGCAAGCTGCAACCCACATTGGCATCCATAGAAGAAGGAAGAAGCCACACCGCTATTGATCGGAATCAGTACACTGAACCAATTTGGCATATTCCTGTTATGTGGAAGTCTAATACATTTGCGCTATAAGATAATCCAATGAAAATGATATGATTGAAAATGTGTCAGGTAAATTCTATATGAATATCTGATACATTTACAATGCTGATAATTTGGTAACTTTTATATGATTGTCATATGATAAATGAAAATCGGTCAAATTATAATAATCAATTGAAATGAATTTGAAACCCATAAGCATAAGCTTAACTTTTCACCACAATATGTGTTGATATATGATCGAAGTTAAGTTTATGTGAAAATAACATGAAATTTTTTTTTCTTTTGAAACATATATTTAACCGATTTCTAAAAATAAATCGAAAAATAAACATCAGGTAGTGGGAGCTTTTATAGTTGTGTCTTTTTTTTATTGTAGCTGATTTGGGATTCGAGCAAGAACTGTTGAGGTGTGATGCTTTCGGTGTCTGCACTCAATTCCACTGGGCCACGGCTGACTTCAAGATTGAGCTCGTTCAATTAGCATGAAGTAAGAACAGCTCTCCCGACATGGAATATAGTGCAACGTTATGCTAGTTTTGCTAGAGTGAAGAAAAATAGCACTTACAAATTTATACTCCGTTTCGTTGTCGTGTATTCAAATCTTTCTTAATGCTCCTGTGTGCAATAAAACAACTACATTATATGAGTTCATGGAATTGGTTCATGAACTTCGAGTACTAGTGCTGGAATCTGAATTAGCCGTGCACACTTAGATTGTGTTGTGAGTATTCGGTAAATTTTACCAAAATCAGAACAACTGAAAATTCGGTAAAACTTTGACCTTCCTTTTAAAGGCAATTGAATTTGAAAATAGTTTCAAAACATGTTCAACCTTGTTTAAATGATCAAATCTTGTCGATTTAGTAGAGATTTAGTTTCAAGGTATCTTTTAGCTTTTGGTAAAAATTACTAAAGTCGGCGATAATTTCTAAGTGTGTGTAGAAGGCTTACAATTAGAATATTAGTAAAGTTAATATTCAGTAGAATGATTTTTTTCCAATTTTAATACATTCTTTTCCGGAACCCCTTATCTAATGGAACAATATCAAACTAGGATTATTCAATAAAGTATCATTGTTGTTAGCTTTATTTAGCTCAACTTATCATTTTAATGAGTGTACGATAACATCATTGAAAATTGTTTCAATCATTTATGAAGAACAATCATGTAAGTTGTATTTTATTGGGAGCGATATTCATCCCAGAAAACCATGCCAAAACAAATGTTTTCTGTTGGATTTCTTAAAAGGCAAATCTATATGACTAAATAATGATTGTGGTAGATCTTTTTCCAATTTTTAAACGTAAAAAATCAAAGGAAGCTATTACAATGAGATATACATGTTTTCCTATACTACAAAGTTAAATGACAGTCCAATAGTTTCTACATGTCTGTTTTCACGCGACATATCAACAAACGTCAAAAATCATTAAAAGTAACTCAAACAAAATAAACATAATTATCTTATTAGATATATAGTTTAGTGAGTAATATTCATCATGAAAACAGGTATGGTTTACTGAATTTTCTCATAGTGCAAACTTATATGATTTTCCATTAGTTTCTAGATGTCTGTTCTCATCCATTACATATCACCAGTTTTTCACCATGAAATATATCAGACAATATTCATATACATCTTATCTATCGCTAACTACGCTCGAAGCAAAGTATTATCAAGTACTAAGTATGTGAAATTACGATAGAAGTCATTCCATATCGCAGTCATAGTTTTTAAGTGATAATCCAATGGAATCTATCAATCATCACATAGAATGAATAAATCTGCTGACATTGCTATGTTATAAGATGGATCCAATAAACGGTACTTGTCGATTTGTTTCAGTGTAGCTTTTCATGAGTCGCTGTCGCCATCTATGTCAAGCGCGTCATACTAAAGAGTATAAACAGAGAGAACTCCACGCAAATTCCTAATCCTACACAAAACACAAGCTGCAGCTGCAGTTAACAAATAAGATTTATTATATAAAATCAAGTAGTCCTACGTCACTATTGCGTAAAACACCATAGGGCTGTCCCTTGTCGTTTTTATTATAGTAGTATTGTTGTACAATTATTGTAGTTTTTATTATGCACTGAGGTAAAGAGTAGGTTTAGAAGTGCAACACAGCATATCCCATCTTAGCAAGATGAAGAATTCAGTTTCATCTAACACTTGCTGAAGATCTTAAAATGAAAAGTATTGATACACATTTTCATCACTTTCCAGCATTAATCTAGGGTGTATGGGTTCCAATATGGATGCTTGCGCCTATCTTCAAAAATGGAATCAATATATAGCAGTATTGCACCTCTCTCACGATAACGGTTTAGTGGCAGCTAGGATCCTGTGAATAGTTTTTTGTCAGCCTACTATTCACATTTCGGATCTTAATTTCTACTGTGTGAACATTCATCCGCCAACATTCAACAATGCATTCAAAATATAGTACAGTAATTGGAATTGGATGGTGGTTTAAAGTATATGTCGTTACTAAAGAATTTAACATCAGGCAAACTGAAAATGCTCAACAATATGAATAAAAACAGACAAACACCCGGTGGAGTATGGGTCGAGTAATGAAAGATGAAATATATGTGACTCGAAATATATAAACTTAGCATATTTACCTGCTGGATGGTGGTGGATTATTGGCTGCCTGCAAGATGATGATGGGCTCGGTGTGTTCGGTTGGCTGTGCTAAATTCGGTTGCTAACATCTTCCTTTTTCGCAGAATCGACGAAGCGATCCGTCGGCACCTTTTTCCCTCGGCAAGGAAATGGGTGGGATGGATTCCCGGCGGAATTAAGTTATAATGGCATTGTGTGCCTGCGGTTCTCGCTACAACCGTGTAGGAATGGGAGCATATCGCATACGTGTGTAGCAGTAGATACGGTTGTCGGTTGTAGAAGCAGGTTTGCCGCCCGGTTGGCATAGCGATGATAAAATAGTATCTCTTCGGATTGGAAATAAGTGCTTTCTGGTATTGAACAGTTCTTTCTTCGCGTGGGATTTTTCGAGAGTATATTTTTTCCAATTTGACAAACGACGAAACCGAACCAAAGATGATACCTTCCAAATTTGATGGGGCGGTCGTCAGGGAGAAACGTGACTTGGAAGAATTCAAATCAATTTTCCCCGAAAAGGATTCCTCTTCATTCGGCTCCATTCGTATGCAAACGGCGGCTCGCAATCGATTTCTGTGCCTGTTTTCCGTTGTGAGAAAATCCTTTGGGATCCATTATTATTAGAAGAGAGTGCCGGTTGTCGAAGGTTGGTTTTTCTTCGAGTGAGTATTTTACACGCTTTTTTCCGCCCCGGATGGAGGCTGAGCAGAGCACAGCCGTATGTGTGATAAACAATAGGACTCGAAAGTAGATGAACAACAGCAGCCGCAGCGGTGGTACCAAGCATTCGATCACGTACACAACGAAATACCTACAGGTGGTCGTCCCATCGTGCTACCGGGAGATAGAAGAGTGTTCGGTTTTTGTGTTTGCGTGTGTAATTTTCAAGTCGGTTGCCAAGAGATGAGTTGTGTCAACAGATAAACCGAGAAAGAAATATAGAAGAAATAGAAACGGAAAAGAAGAAGAAAACAAATCATGAACAGCAGAGATAAAAAGCATTTTTTCATTGTTGGAAATAAGGGATAAGCGTATCTACGGTTCCAGCGTGTTTCTAGGATAGCGATAGGAACATCAAAAATGCTACATGGATAGGACGGGCTTACAAAATTACGGTGGATTTGCTTCCAGCGGGGGAAGAGGAAGGCACCAGAAATGTGTTCGCTTTCAAGTCAAACAGATGTCCGCACAGGACTTTTCTTTGGAAACTTACCCATCTTAGGCAGGATGACATCTTTGGAGATGGTGCGGTTGGCATTCATGCGCCGGATTGTTTGATCCATGCTTCCGGTGCTGGGTGCGTTGGAAGAGGGAAGCTTTCCGGATCCGGTGTTTACGTTCACTCCTCCCGGGCCGCCTTGACCTGTGTGCCAGGTGGAAAAAAGGGGGTAGAGGAAGAAACAGTGCTTCGTTACTATTTGGTCGGTTTCGGTTTGCCGGTTGGGCTAGCAGCGGAAGGCTTGAAGCTGTTTGGTGGAAGAGCGATGAGTGGTTGCTCTTGATCATATCCAGCCCAACATTTTCAATAGTCGGAACAACTAAACGGATACAATGGCAAGCATAAATTTCCTTTGTCAAATGGCATTGTTAGTTTGCGTGGGTGTGTTTTGATTCTCGAGAAATTTGCGTTTGGTTGCTCCGCCTTTTTTAATTTTAAGTTTAGATATTTGATATAAATTGTTAGCTTTGATGATGCCCTTATAGATATGATTGAAAAGAACTCCATGCTATTTTCGAACCTAAAGACTTATTGTATTTGACCGCTTTGTTGTTCTTTAATAGCTGTTTTGCATTATAATTGCCATTTTCATGGTAAAATTAGCTCATTATGTGTAGATTCCACATGTTTCAATTTATGCTTAACTAATTTCTAATATTCATATTTTTTTCAAGAATTTTAAGAATCATGTACGAGAACCATACGGTGAAACTACGCAGATTGCACAAAGTGCAAGTAGGGTGCAACATTTAAGCTGTTTATGAAAGCCTTCTCTCAGCGTTCTAATGCCACAATAAAAAAAAACTATCATTGCAAGGGTGAATTTCGGAATCAATAAAATCCATGTCTTTTTTAGAATCTATCTTCCTTCGGTGACTGAGATTGAAGTTTTCGCAAGCGATGTAAATCATCGAGGTAAATTTCGAACAACGACTCCCAAGTAACGTTGCAATTTTTTTAGAGTTTTTAAAGTATTCCACAAGTCTACAGAACCCTTATAAAACCAAAATTGTTACTTGGGCTGTCACGCGATATAAAACATCAGCAGGTGAACGGTAATAATGATCTATAATGATCTTCAACATAGTATGCTAAATCGGTCACCTCATATCATAACTTATCACTTTTATTAGAGTTGTTGTCATAATAATTCAAACCTGGTGACGATGACTGCAATCATCACGAAAAACATGACGAGCAAACGATGTGACTCATAAACTCAATGTAAAGATGCCTTTGATTGAACCTGTAAATATCGCGTGAGATCTTTCATTGAAAATTACATTTTAGATATACTGCATTCATATTAAAAAGAGTCAATGAGTCCTAGGTGTGTGTGTGTGTGTGTGTCATCCTCTATCCTTATCCATTTTTAATTACGAAAAACGGATGCTAGTTCAGTCACATTTAAGGGGGGAGTACACTTTGATTTTTCAAAAAAAAAAATGCATTTTTTTGGCTTAAAATGTTCCTTGGGATGTATACTGTAATTTAAAAAAGACTCCAAGTCCGCCAAAATATTCCTTACCACTTTACGAAGCGATTTCCTAAAACATGTACCGGCGCGCTGAGAGAGCATTTTTATTTTTAAACGCATTTATCTCGAAACTGGGTTTTTAAAACTGGCGTGGGAAATAACTCTAACCAGTTATCATCAAATTAGAATACCGTCTAGGTTTTCTTGTTCAAAATTAAATTCTGCTTAGAAATGCGTATCCACATTTTCGATTTAGTCAAAAATTGATTTTTAATCCACGATTTTGTAAGCATTTTTAGGGTGAATAAATGGACTTTTTTTTTCCTAAGGCGACAACTTTTGAAAAAAATAATTTAAAAAAAATTGGAATACGTATTTCTAACCCAAATTTCATTACTAATCAGGATTTTTGTTCGATTTATGTTCCAGGATCACATGGAAAGGAGTATTTTTTCCACGCCGTTTTCCGACTTCCGCGCGAGGACGCCCGCGCGACCTGGTGCCCCGGCCACGGGGAGACGCCAATCGAGTTCAAAAAAATACAAATTGTAGTTTGAAGGATGACTAATAAATGGGTTATAACATATTTGCCCACCCTGAGTGTTTTATTGCTTAAAAAAATTAACAAGAATGCCTTACTTTTTGGACGTTCAAAGTGTACTGCCCCCTTAACCAATGGAGACGCATGGTAGTTTTGAGGAAAAACAAGACTTAACCCTCCGTTACTCGCGCTGTTGTACTTTGTACAACACACATGAGTTTTCCATTGCCATTTTGTTGCTGAGTTACCAATCGATCTGAAACCAACGAGTATTCCTCAAAAAACTTGTTTTGATCGATACAAGCTAAACATTGATTACAGTAAACACCTAAAAACTGCGGATAATAGGGAAAATGTAAATGGAAACCGCGTAAACTGTGACCATACTACGTGGGATTTGACTTAATTGATTACAACATGGAATATATTGAGATCCTGACCCGATAGAATGTTACTGTCTCCGACAAAGTTGTTCAGAAGATCATTGCCTTGCCGCTGGCGGACAGTAGTTCAGAATTTTCTCACTACGTAGCCCTAGTATACATGTGAAATTCTCGCATGTGATATATCTCGAGATCCTGACCAGATAGAAAGTTACTGTCTGTCACAAAGTTTTTCAAGAGGTTGCTTGGCCTATTGCTTGGTGCTCAATAGATCAGAATTTGCTTACTACGCGACGCTAGTATACCCGTGAAATTTTCATATAAAATATCTCGAGTTCCCAACTAGATAGAAAGGTACTGTCTCCGGCATAGTTGTTCAGGAGGTCAAGGCTTTTTCACAGGTGAACAGTAGTTCAGAATTTTCTCACTTTGCGGCGCTACTATACATATGAATCTCTTGCATATAAAATATCTCTAGATCCTGACCTGATAGAAAGTAAATGTATTCGACAAAGTTTTTCAGGAAGTCAAGATCTTTTTGTTGGGTGACAATAGTTCAGAATTTTCTCACTATGCGGCGCTGAAATACGTGCCTTTCTCGCACATTCAATAGCTCGAGATCTTGATCAGCTAGAAAGTTACTCTCTTGGGCAAAGTGGTTCAGGAGGTCAAGGTCTTTTGGCTGATGAACAGTGGTTCAGAATTTTCTCACTGCACTGCGCTAGTATACAAGTGTAATCCTCATATATGCCACAACTCGAGATCCCGAACAGCTAGAAAATTACTGTCTTCGGCAAAGTTGTTTAGGAGATCAAAGCTTTTTTGCTGGTGAACAGTAAATAGTTCATAATATTTTCGGTATTCGGCGCTAGTGTGCATGTAAAATATTTGTATATGCTAGAGCTTAAGGTCAGGAAGTAACTGTCATTGTCAAAGTTGTACATGCAGCAAAGTTCTTCCGGATGATGAACATGCAAATGTGTTTTGTTCAAAGCTCTCTCATTTTACGTCGAATTTTTGATCTCCTTAGGTTATTTGAATGGTATGAATGGTACAGCATAAGGGTTCTACTACTACTTTAAATTTCAATTTTTTTTTCAAGTCAATTATGAGAAAATCAATCATGATTCTTCAGAGTAAATTTTGAAAAATAGTGCAACAATTGGTATACAAAATTTGAAAATTATATTGAGCAATTTGCCTCTTCGTATTTCCATTCAAAATCTTTCAAATGTTCTAAAAAGAACGAACATTGGACGTTTTTAGGGAGTGTCCTAAAACTTATGATCGGGACTGTACGGTTTTATAAATTTCTCCATTCAACTGAGCAAAAGTGCCTCACTCTCTGAGTTAGTCTCGTTGTCCGTGCTCACGTAAATAAAGGGATTTTTTTTTTATTCTAGACCCCTCGATAAGACATTTTGAAATTAGCCTAAAATGAAAGGGAGACTCTAAACATTCATTTGGTGGAAGTTTCAGCGATATTGATCTTTTAAGATAATGTTTTCCATCTGAGATACGTGTTATCACTAATTTATCAGAGGTACACAAGTGGAAGACTCACCCCAATTTATGTATCCACAAATCTGCATGAAAATATTCACCAGTAAAAGAAATCCAGAATATATTTGTCTAATCCTACTTAGGCTGATGTAAATTGTATTTTTATTTTATGATATTTGATATGCGAGAATTGCCCGCCAAGTTTTGAGAAATTTCTGAACTACTGTTCATCAGCCAAAAGATCTTTATCTCCTTATCAGCTTTGCCAAATACAGTAAATTTCTAGCTGTTCAGGATCTCGAGAAAATTTCACGTGTATACTAGCGCCGCTTAGAATCTCGAAACAAACCACATGCGGGATTTTTACGTGTATTCTAGCGCTACGCAGTGAGAAAATGTTGAACTACTGTCCACTAGTGAAAAATATCTGATCAGAATCTCGAGATATTTTACATGTGAGAATTTCGCGTGTATACTAACGCCACGTAGTGTGAAAATTTTGAACTTATGTGTACCAAGCAATAGGCAATGACCTAATGAACAACTTTTTCGAAGACAGTAATTTTCTACCTGTTCAGAATCTCGAGATATAGCATACGCGAGAATTGTACACGTTTACTAGCGCCACGTGGTGAGAAATTTCTGGGCTACTGTCCACCAGCCAAAAAGTCTTGTTCCCCTAAACAAATTTGCCGGAAACAGTAACTTTCTATCTGCTCAGGATCTCGAGCTATTGTATATGCGAGAATTGCATGTGGATACTAGCACCGAGTAGTGAGAAAATTCTGAACAACTGTCCACCAACAAAAATATCTTGACTTCCTGAACAACTTTGCCAAAGACATTTACTCTATATCTGGTCAGGATCTAGTGATGTATCAGATGCGAGAACTTAACATGTATACGAGCACTACCTAGTGAGAAGATTCTGAACTTCTGTTCACCAGCAAAAAGGCTATGATCTCCTGAACAGCTTTGCCTAAGACAGTAACTTTCTATCTGGTTAGGATCTCGAGATATTTTATATGAGAATTTCACGTGTATACTAGCGCCGCGTAGTGAGAAAATTCTGTACTACTGTCCACCAGCCAAAAATACTTGACCCCCTGAACAAGATTGTCGAAGACAGTAACTTTCTATCTGCTCTGGATCTCGAGCTATTGTATAAGCGAAAATTGCACGTATATACTAGCGCCACGTGGTGAGAATTTTCTGAACCACTCCATCAACGAAAAGATCTTTGCTTCCTAAAAAACTTTGCCGAAGACAGTAACTTTCTATCTGGTCAGAATCTCAAGATATGTTATATGAGAATTTCACGTGTATACTAGCGCCGCGTATGGAGAAAAATTTGAACTATTGTGCACCAAGAAATAGGCTTTGGTTTCATCAACAACTTTGTCGACGACAGTAACTTTCTACTTGGTCATGATATCGAGATATATCACATGCGATAATTTCACATGTATTCTAGCGCTACGCAGTGAGAAAATTCTGAACTATTCTCCACCAGCACAAAGGTTTGATCTATAGAAAAACTTTGTCGAAGACAGTAACTTTCTATCTGGTCAAATCCCACGTAGTACGGACACCGTTTACGCGGTTTCCATTCACATTTTCTCTGTTGTCCGCATTTTTGGGGGTTAACTGTGATAAAAGTTAAGCTTGTTTAGTTAAAAACAAATTTTTTAAGGAATACCCGTTGTTTTCATATCGATTGGTAGCTCGACTGCAAAATGGCAATGGAAAACTCACACTGTTGTACAAAGTACAACGCGCGAGTACTCGCGAGTACAAAAATTGGCGCGAGTAACGGAGGGTTAATAATTTTTTTTTTATATATCTCAAAAACTCACCTCTACTGTGGTCTTTAATAGTTGATGACCTTCTCAAAAACTTAGAAGCACAAGGCTTCGAGATTATTGGCTTCGCACATAATATAGTCATATTAGGGCGTGGAAAATATGACTTTATCATTTCAAATAGAATGCAAACTGCTTTAAATTATGTTTCATCGTGATGCACTAGCGAAGGATTGAATATTAATCCATCTAAAACAACTATTGTACCATTTACACGAAGAAAAAAAAACGTCCATAAATAGTATTAAACTGAAAGGAATAATTTTAGAACTTTCAAACACAGTCAAGTATCTAGGAGTTACTCTTGACAGCAAACTAAATTGGAATTCGCATCTAGAGCAAGTCATTAGTAATCCACTGGATTATTTGACGATTGTAAGACCCAGAATAACCTATGCATCATTGGTTTGGTGGCCTAAAACCAATGAAAAATCAGCTCAGAAAAAGCTGGGGAGGCTGCAAAGACTAGCTACTCTCTCAGCAACATGTAATTCTAAACTTGTATGGGAATGTGCAATGTCACTCCAAAAATTGGCCTGCCAAAACCAAGTGAACCGATTTTCAGTTTCTGGTCACTGCGGAATTCAAGGGAATGAGAAAGCCGACACACTAGCTAGGCTTGGATCATCTCAACAATTTATAGGACCAGAACCATTCTGTGGATTTTCTGCTTGCTCTCTTAGAATGGAGTTCAAGAAATGGGAAATACTGAAAGTGGAGAACAATTGGAACAACACTCTCATTGCTAGGCAGTCGAAACGGTTTATTAATCCGAGCATTTCAATGACTAGCAAAATTCTTTTACTTTCAAAGAAAAATCTCAGTCTGTACACTGGTTTATTAACAGGGCACTGTCCATGTAAATATCACTTGAAGCTAATAGGAAATGCTTCAAGATGACATGTGTCGATTATGTGGCATAGAAAAAGTAGACTCTGAACACCTGCTATGCTCTTGTACAGTAATCTTCAATAAGAGGCGTATTTTTCTGGATAAGTGGCTGACAGAACCCTTTGATATTTGGAATTCAGTTCCCAACCAAGTAGTGCAATTCTTGCGAAATGTAATACCTGACTGGGAAAATGCTTTTGGTCAGTCTATGTCGGTCGCATCATAAAATGGTGTTACGACATGCTAATAAAGCAATATTAAAATGGGGAATATATCACAATAGATCTAAGTACTGGTCGCAGTGATCAAAATACCATAAAAAAAAATTAAAAAAAAAGAATGTTTTGGTATATTAAAACTCATTCGACCTTCTATTTTCTGGATAGCCATTTTAAATACCATTCATTTGCTGAAAAAAGATCGAAAATGGCTCCAGTAGTTCAAATGTAATTAATTTTCGTAGTTGGGTACATAACCAATAACGTCGATTTTCTGGACCACCCTAACTAAGGAAGGTGCACCCTGAGGGCAAAATTAAAAAAAAATATCGGTCCATAATTTGTTGATAAGTAATAAATGTGCAAGGTATGATTGAAATCGGTAGTAATATTTTCATGGAATTGCTGTATATGGCTCAAATTTTACAACTTATATTCCGAATTAACACGTTGGATAACGGAACCCGCATCTGCCAACCCCCGTTCCTACTAACCTGGCAACCGCGGAGGCCTGGACAGCTCCACCGGGCAAACGCGACGCCTTCGCTTTGGCAGCTTGGCACGGGCCTGCGTGTGCGAGTAGTACATCGTAAAGTTGCTCACGATGACGGGAACGGGCAGGGCGATCGTCAGCACACCGGCCAGAGCACACAGCGCACCCACAAACATCCCGATGTAGGTTTTCGGCGTCATGTCCCCGTAGCCGACGGTGGTCATTGTGACCAGGGCCCACCACAGCCCCAGCGGTATGCTGTTGAAGTCGTTGTGCGGGTTGATCTGTATCCGCTCGGCGTAGTACACCAGGCTGGCGAATATCACGATACCTAGAACTAAGAAAAACACTAGCAGCGTCAGCTCTTTGGCCGAGGCCCGAAAAGTTTGGATGAGAATCTTCAGCCCGGACGAGTGTCGCGTCAACTTGAACAATCTCATGATACGGATGATGGAGAAGAACTCCAGGATGTCGGCGTTCTCCAGGTGTGACGCGAACCGCTGCAGTATCAGATCGATGAAGAAACTTAACGTAGCGATGTAGTCGATGATATTTACAGACGATGTGATGAACCTAAGCTTACTCGGGGATGAGATAAACCGCACCTGAAATGGGACGAGCAAAACCCCGTCGGGATGGTTTGGATGAATGAAAAATGGGATTTAGAACATTGCAGGTCAATTTCAATCTTTTCCCACAAGGAAGTAGATCAAAGGTGGAGTGAATTGAACCCAAAAGTCTGACAGGTAAAATTACCATGATTTCAAAGGTAAACCAAGCGTTGCAGACGCATTCGATGTAGAAGAACGCCACGTGGGCGTTCGTTTGTGTTTTGTCCAGCACCCAGGACGTGTTTTGGCTCGCCGTCTTCACCGTGATGTTCCGGATGAACGGTACTCGCATGTCCGGGTGGGTCTTCAGGCAGAATGATATGATCGATACGCAGATGAAGAATACTGATATGATGCCGATTATCTGCAAATAAGATGGGGAGACAAAGGTGATGTTAGTATATTTATATATATTTTTTTCGAAGTTGCTTCTTGGTACTGAAAACGTGCTGAAAATGTCACAAACATTCAAAAGAATTTTTTCGCGGTACCAATGCTACCGACGCCAGGGAGGCAGCTCCCACACCTGGACCCTGTATATCGACCCATCAACTAATGAATCGGGGACCAACGGATTTACTTCCCTTCCGAAGGAAGGCATGATGAGGGATTTTATGCATCAGGAAATCTCAGTGGCGCCGACTAAGATTAAACCCATGCCTTTTGGGGTGAGAGGCAATCACGATTACCACTACACCACCGGCGCCGCTCATACAATGTTTAACGTAACGTTTATTCAAATTCTTCACCCGAAAATCATTGCTTCATGGTATTTTAAATAACAAGATCCATTTACACGCCACT